GGGGGGGTGCAATAGGCTGACTCTGTAAACCACTTAGAGATGGCTGCCCAGCACTGTGCAGCGGTATACAAGTCTGCGATCTATTGCTAAGTGCTATTCACGGGATGGTCTGCTTCGTACCGTAGGTCTGAAGATGGGATTCCACACCCTAGCGTCGACTCACCAATGACCCAGCCTGCCTACCTTTGAATCAGACATTAAACTATCCTGGTTTCGTTCCAAAACGGAGCCACAAACATAGCTGGCCCCATTTCGAACCGAGCATGTGCTGATTCAACCGTTACCGGCGCTGCATTCACCACCCTGAAAAAGCAATCCGAAGCCTGGCGAGGCTTCCAATTGTCACAAAATCTATTCAAAAAAGTTTGCGGCGGCGGCAACCGAGATGACATCGCAGGAAAGGTAACGCGGTTAGTCACACACGGTTGTTAAGTGAATCCGGCTGTCCCTCGTTGACCTTGCTTGTTAGGTCACAAAAGGGGATCACGTGACCCTGGGGGGGGGAACACTGCGACCGTCATAAATCTGAGTCAGCAGTCAAGCACCCGAATGTAAATTAGGTGACATGGGGGAGGCTGCAATGATAATAACGGTAATAAGCGTGAAAAATGGTCGTCGGTCCTTTTTTGGGGTGTCGTCGTTAACTTCGGACGTCACTAAACAAACTCAGGACTGGAGCTAAAACATACAAGGAACGGTTGCTGGAATTGGGTCTATCTAGTTTAATGAAGAGAAGGACGAGGGGGGACAGGATAACAACGTTCCAATATCTCAGGGGCTGCCCCAAAGAAGAGGGAGTCAAGCTGTTCTCCAAAGCCCCTGAAGGCAGGACAAGAAACAACAGGTGGAAACTCATCAAGGAGAGAAACAACCTAGAACTAAGGAGAAACTTCCTGACATTTAGAACAATTAACCAGTGGAACTCCTTGCCTCCAGAAGCGATGAATGCTCCAACACTGGAAGTTTTTAAGAAGAGACTGGACAGCCATTTGTCTGAAATGGTACAGGGTTTCCTGCCTGAGCAGGGACTAGATGACCTCCAAGGTCCCTTCCAACTATTATTGTTGTTGTTGTTGTTGTTGTTGTTGTTATTATTATTATATAACTATTGTAAGTCAAGGACAGCCTGTACTGCAAATGGCAGAAAGGAGGGCTGGAAAATATGGGATAACACACAGAGAGCCTCCCACGGGAAAATTTGCTTTATTTATCTGTGGCATGAAAAAGTTATATTCTTCCTACTTACTTTAACGAAGCAGAATCTATGCCAAGAATTCCAAAGGGAGCATTTCTCTGGCTGCCTCCATTCTATTAAGCCAGCGACCCCCCCAACTGGTCGTAAGTCAAGGACTACTCAACTGGTCGTAAGTCGAGGACTACTCAACTGGTGCAGCACCGTTTGCAGAATGGGACTTTTGGCGGGCTCAGCAGGGCAGAGACAGCCTGGACAATTCCTATTGGCTTTTGAAAGCCAATAGAATTAGACTCTATTCAAGAGAGTCTATTCTATTGGCTTTCAAAGCCAATAGAATAAAAGGGAGTAGCACAGCTAAGGAAAAGGGGGAAAAAATGGCGGACTGCGTTGTTTGGCGACCCCCGTGAAATGGTCGTTTGACCCCAAATGGGGTCCCGACCCACAGGTGGAGAACCCCTGTGTTAAGCCATGACAAACACAGCCGGCTTTGAACGCAACCGGTCAGTTTCCTGGACGACAAGCAAAACTTGGTTTGGGTCATCTGATTCACAAGGAGGGTTTTCTTGGGAAAGTGAAAATGAAAAGTAAGCTGTATGGGGGGGGGGGAAGGAACCTAAGCTAACCATGAACTTTTATCTTTGGATGTTGCTGTTTCTTCTTCTCACTTTTTGGAGAACTGTTAAGTCATCACTCTAGACAGCAGAAAGACCTCTTGATTGCATTAAATAAAGTGAAATTTAATTCTCTACCCAAACAAAAGAAAGAGCCAGGAAGCGGAGATGATTGACAGGAGAAGCCCAGCCTCTAACGCAGGACTAAGGGATTGCCAAGAGTCAAACAACCTGACTTTCAATTTTAGTCACGGTGTCGAAACAAGTTTTTTGTTTGCCCTTTTTTCTTAGTAAGAGAGAAGCAGAAAGGAGAAATGGACTCAGGGGATTAGACGTAGTCCTCAACTTACAACAGTTCACTTAGTGACCGAATTTAGAACGGCAGTGAAAAAGGGACTTAGGACCGTTTTTCACACTTAGGACCGTTGCAGCATGCCTGTGGTCATGTGATTTACATTCGGATGCTTGACAACCGACTCATATTTATGACGGTCTCAGCATCCCCTTTCGTGACTTTCTGACAAACAAAGTCCACGAGGAAGCAGAATTCGCTTAACAATTTTGTGACTAATTTAACTGCATCCAGTTTTGGTCACCACGATGTAAAAAAGATGTTGAGACTCTAGAAAGAGTGCAGAGAAGAGCAACAAAGATGATTAGGGGACTGGAGGCTAAAACATATAAGGAACAGTTGCTGGAATTAGGTATGTCTAGTTTAATAAAGAGAAAGACCAGGGGGGACAGGATAGCAGGGTTCCAGTACCTCAGGGGCTGCCCCAAAGAAGAGGGAGTCAAGCTCTTCTCCAAAGCCCCTGAAGGCAGGACAAGAAGCAACGGATGGAAACTAATCAAGGAGAGAAGCAACCTGGAACTAAGGAGAAATTTCCTGACAAATAGAACAATTAACCAGTGGAACAACCTGCCTCCAGAAGTGGTGAATGCTCCAACACTGGAAGTTTTTAAGAGACTGGACAGCCATTTGTCTGAAATGGTATAGGGCTTCCTGCCTGAGCAGGGGGTTGGACTAGATGACCTCCAAGGTCTCTTCCAACTTTATTATTATTATTAGATTAGCCAAACCCAGTTCCTGCAACCGTTTTTCATATGTTTTTGTTTCCTTCCAACTTTATTATTATTATTATTATTATTATTATTATTATTAACCACATGCAGTGATTCGCTTTACCAATGGGGCAAAACTCAGTTAGCAAATTTCTCACTTATCAACCAAAACGTTGGGCTTAATTGTCGCTGTACTTTTGAGGACTACCTGTTAATTTCTCACTCCAAAACCGGTCTTTAAAAAAAAAAAACCATTCCAGAACTGATCAAATAATAAATCTCTGCTAGCTTTTTAGTTTTGACTGTGGTTAATCCTTGAAAAGTCCCTAGAAAGAGATCAAAAATGGCTATTTCTGGCTCAGCTGTCTCCTTCGGAGGCATTGCTACTCAACCCGCAAGTTTCACCTAGCCATGATTCACAGTTGCTGATGTGCCACCGTTTTTAAAATGTTGGTTTTGGAAAACCGTCATCAGCGTAAGGCGCTCTTCAACCCTTCCCTAAGGGCTTTAATCTAATTTAATCCAGTTGCGCGTTAAGAAGGATTTCCTCCTATCCTTGGCCTGCTAAATCTGGTCAGGCCTCCTTTTTGAAAATAATAACCATTTATTTATTTTTTCGTATTTCTGAACCGCCCATCTCCTGCAAAGAGGATATATATATATATATATATATATATATATATATATATATATATATATATATATATATATATATATATACACACACACAGGTCGTCCTCAATTTACATCTCAAACTGCTTTCCCCCCCCCCAAAATGCAACTAGATTTTTCCGTGTGTTTTTTTTTCTTTGAAAATGTTTTGCTTCTCATCCAAGAAGCAGAACTGAAAAAGCTTCTTGGATGAGAAGCGAAACATTTTCAAGGAAAAAAAACAAAACCCAAGAAAGTCAAACTGCCTTTTAGATAAATACAGATCGTCCTTGAGTTACAACAGTTAATTTAGTTCAAGGTTACAACAGCATTGAAAAAAGTGACTTATGACTTATTTTTTCACAATTGCCACCTTTGTAGCATTCCCATGATCACGTGAACCAAATTCAGACGCTTGGAAACTGACTCGTACTTATGACAGTTGCAGTGTCCCCCTTTTGCGACCGTTTGAAAAGCAAAGTCAATGGAGAAAGCCAGATTCACTTAACAACAGGGTTACTAACAAATGCAGTGATTCCCTTAACAACTGTGGCAAGAAAGGTCGTAAAACGGGGTTAAGAAATGTCTCACTTAACAACAGAAACGTTGGGCTCCCTTGCGGTCATAAGTCAAGGACTATCTGTAAGGGGGAACATAAACTTAATCATTCCAATTTAGGCTGGCTTTTTTCCGTCTCCCGTCACTTTCGGTTATCAAGAGAGGCACCCAAAGGTCATCTACCGGTAGTCCTCAACTTACGACCAAGCCCAACATTTCCACTGCTAAGCCAGACAGTTGCGAAGTCAGCTTTGCCCCATTTTGTGACCGTTTTTGCCCCCGTTGTTAAGCGAACCACGGCAGTGGTAGAGCGCGTCACACGGTCGTTAATTGAATCTGGGTCTTCCCCGTTGACTTTGCCGCAAAAGGGGGAATCGCGTGACCCCCGGCAGGTTGCGACCGTTGTAAGTACGAGTCAGTTGCCAAGCGTCTGAATTCGGTTCACGTGACTGTGAAAGGTTGCAACTGCGAAAAACGGTCATAAGTCACTTTTTTTCCGTGCCGTCGTAACTTGGAACTAAATGAACGTTGAAACTCGAGAACAATGCCGGGGGACGCTGCGACGGTCGTAAATCCGAGTCAGTTGCCGAAAGCGTCCGAAGTTGGATCAGGCGACCAACGGGGTTGCTGCGACGGTCGTCAAGTGTGCCAAACGGTCCTTAAGGTTGCTTTGGTCGGCGGCACTGTAACGTCGGTTACTAAACGAGCGGTCGTAAGTCGAGGACTGCCTGTGTTTTTTAACCTCAAGACCCCCCCATGAGTTTATCCCCCCCTTGCTTCACCCCCACTGCAACCCCGCCCTCCTGTCACCCTTCCTTGTCTTAGCCCCCCCCCAGGGTCCCCCCCTTTTCGCCTCAGCCCCCCAAACTCAGCATCCCCTCCCTCCCACGGCTCCCCTCTCCCCCAAACTCCCCCCCGCCCACCTGCTCTCCTCCTGCTCTCCGACCTCCATCCCCGGGTCTCTCAGGGACCCACGACCTCACTGCCGGCCCGAGAGACACCCTGTCCGAGGCCACCGCCGTCTCCGCCCGCTGCCATCGCCGGGCCCCGGGCGGGAAGCCTCTGCCCGGCGCCGCCTCCTCCTCCTCTTACTCCTCGCCCCACCGCTCCGTCACCGCCAGGGACTGCAACTCCCGGCATGCCCTGCCCAGCTTCCGCTCGTGGCGCCCCTCTCGAAGCCGCGCCTCCGCCACTGGAGCGCCGCGCATGCGTACATCGCCAGGCCCGCGTTCTGAGGGACTTCAACTCCCGAGAGGCTCTGGCGGCACTTCCGGCCTGTTTTGTTTTTTTTTTTGCCCTCAGCTCGCCGAGCCTTGGGACGATCCGTGTCTGAGGGGGGGGGGAAAGGGCTGGGACGCGTGTTTGGATGGTTGTGTGAATGACGGGACCGGGCTTTAGTTAAAAATAAGTCGCGCGTTCCAAAATATCGGTAAATCTTGCGGTTTTTTTTTTTTTTCAAAAGGACAAGAAGCAACGGATGGAAACTAATCCAGGAGAGAAGCAACCTGGAATTAAGGAGAAACTTCCTGACAGGGAGGACAATTAACCAGTGGAACGGCTTGCCACCAGAAGCGGTGAATGCTCCAACACTGGAAGTTTTTAAGAAAAGACTGGACCTATACAGTCTCCTGCTTGAGTAGGGGGTTGGACTAGAAGACCTCTAAGGTCCCTTCCAGTTCTATTCTGATCGATTGTATTCTACATATGGCATCTACAAGGAATTTAATTATAGAAATAAGAACAATATAGCATTGTAATTAAGGCAAATGTAGTTTAATAAATAAGGAACTATTAGGAGAAGGAGTTTTAGGTGTGTTTGTCGCCTTGCGTTACTTGCAAAGAAGCAAAGGTGGGATAAAAATGAAACGATCGGGTTGCATTTGCCAGATTCTGCAAACTGATAATGCGGCGAACATTTCCCAAGAGTTAGGAGAGCAGCAGGCAAGTCTTGCTTAGCGATGGAGTTATAAATGTTTAGTTACAATTATTTGTACCTTTGTTTTTGATTGGAGATGCTGTGAGTGCTCTATGGGGAGAAGGGCCAGCAGCACCTTGAAAGGTGTGAAGGAAAGAAAACATGCTTTTATGCTACTTTGGACTCAGATCCAGCCAGCTGGGACTGACTGGGTTATATAAGGTCAAAGTATTTTCCACTTACCCTTGGGACTAATTCAAGTAAACTCCTACTTAGATCCAAATAGGAGGGCATATTCAATTAGGTTTTACTGCCTTAATCTTTTATGATGCTGTTTTTATTATGTTGTGAGACTCCCACGGAGTCCTTTGATTGCAAGCTTTTATTTTATTTATTATTTATTTGTTAAATTTATTGCCCCCTCTCTGTGGGGCTACCCTAGCCATCTGGAAACAATAAAAAAGGAGGAAATGAAAAGAGTGTAAATGAAACAGAAGTAAAATAATAGCGCCGTCAAATCAACAATAAAAAGAAAACAAGAATAGATCAAGGCGTGGCTACATCAGTATGAGATGGGTGGCCCAGAAATTGAATTGCAAATAAATAGGGCATATTTTTTTTTTGCTTTTGGGTCCCAGGGTGTCTCACGCACACATATGTATATGGGAATAACTCTCTGCCCACACCTTGGCAGTCTAAAAATAGCACACAAAGAAGAACTTACGGGAACGAAAGAAGAAAAACTGCCAGAGCAGGAACTGCTGCTAAAAAGTTAACATTAGCTTTTAGAAAAGTGAAGAATAAGCTATTCAGAGAAAACAGAAACTGGCTTTCAATGCAACTGCATGAGCTGGTCTTCTAGTCCTTATGATCTGCAGAAATAGATAAAGCCCTGTGCTTTGGGCCTTTTGTTCAGCATTTAGTTACAGGAGATCCTTGATTTACGACCACGATGGAGCCCAACATGGGTTCTGATGGAAGTTAGCCCCCCCAGAAGGAAATATTAAAAAGGGCAGAAAAATATCTTTTTCCTCAAAAGGACTTTTTAAAACCAAACCTGGCCCCAAATCTATCTCTCTGCCCCAAGCAAGAGCTAGGCCCATACAAATGCAAATGTAAAACCATCAGAAAGTTGGAGCCAGAGCAATCAAGAAGACAAAAGAGAAGATCTGCATACCCACCCAAACTCTAGGAATCAGCCCCATCACCTGGGAAGCAGGATATGATAATAGAATTAAACCACAGATATCAAGGCCTAGACAAACACTCAGAAACAGCCTCAAGGTTCATGCCACAGGAACAGGAAACTTCCAAACAAAAGGCTAGGGGGGGTATAAAACCTACTGCCCATGTGCTCAATCCCTCTTCTCCCCTTCTCGCTCCTCTGCACTTTCCTGAAGAACCATCTTTCTGCAATAAACTGTAACCTTCTTCCCAAAGCAGTCACCAAGTTTGCTTATTTATTCCCGGCTTGGATGAACCAGGATGTAGACTTTACTTCTAACAGTTCCCCCTTGGCTTTTGCTTGTCAGGTGATCGCAAAAAGGGATCACATCACACACACACACACACACACGGACACTGCAACCGTCATAAATATGAATTGGTTGCCCAGTGTTCGAATTTTGATCACGTGACCACGAGGGAACGCTGCAACGGCTGCTAAGCGTGAAAAACGGTCATAAATCACTGTTTGGTGCTCCCAGGATTCCAGAATGACTGGAGGAAGCTGTATGCGATGATTGTGGCTGTGTTACTGTTGACATTCTACTGTCTATTCTTTTTCTTTTTTCTTTTGCTTAGTTCTGCTTTTTTAGTTTTTCACATTTTTATTAATTATACGTTATGGTTTTTCTGCAACCGTTGTTTTACCTGTTTATTTATTTATTAAATTTATATTTAATAAATATAATTTTTTTTATTAAATTTATATTTAATAAAAATAAATGAGCCACCCAACTCATTATCAAGCGCTCCGGACAGTTTTATCCAATCCAGTATTAGGCTGTTATAAGCCACCCAGAGTTACTTTCCAGGAGATGGGTCGCCATATACATTTTATGAATAAATAAGTACACAATATTACACATGAAACAATTGCCTGGTGTAATGTAAAAGGCCACTGGTGTTATCAGAGGAGCCACAAAAAAAATAAAGTCCACCTCTGAGTCGCCTAATTAATTCAGAATAGAGCTGGAAGGGACCTTGGAGGTCATCTAGTCCAACCCCCTGCTCAGGCAGGAAACCCCTATCCCATTTCAGACAAAGGGCTGTCCAGTTTCTTCTTCAAAGCCTCCAGTGTTGGAGTACCCACGACTTCTGGAGGCAACTTCTGTTCCACTGATTAATTGTCCTGTTCGGAAGTTTATTCTTAATTCCAGGTTGCTTCTCTCCTTGATTAGTTTCCATCCATTATTTCTGATCCTGCCTTCCGATGCTTTGGAAAATAAGTTGACCTCCCCCCTTCTTTGTGGCAGCCCCTCAAATAGTGGAATACTGCTGTAAGGGTTCCCACTTAGCCTCACAATTGTCCCAGCATTACTCAGGAATTTAAAAGAGCCAAAGAAACTCCTGAGATGAGGTTTCAGCAAGCGAAAAACTTTTATTTTGATCCAAATAGAGTTGGGTGACCCCATCTCTCTTTGTGGCTGTAGAGAGATGAAGGCCACAACCAGGAAAGATGTCTTCCACCTTCTATACCAGTGGGTCTCAACCTTTTTAATGCCGCGACCCCCAACCGGTCATAAGTCGAGGACTACTCAATTGGTGCAGCACCATTTGCAGAATGGGACTTTTGGTGGGCTCAGCAGGGCAGAGACAGCCTGGACAATTCCTATTGGCTTTTGAAAGCCAATAGAATTAGGCTCTATTTCAAAAGCCAATAGAATAAAAGGGAGTAGCACAGCTAAGGAAAAGGGGAAAAAAATGGCGGACTGCATTGTTTGGCGACCCCCGTGAAATGGTCGTTTGACCCCAAATGGGGTCCCGACCCACAGGTTGAGAACTGCTGTTCTATACCTTTCCAGAACAAAAAGGTCAGGTCTTTGTATCAGGAACGAAAAGGTACAGAAAAATAATTCCAAGATGATGACTCATACACAGCAACCCAGGCTCCATCCATAACTCCTTTTCCCTCTCCCCTTATCGTGCTCTTTTCATGTAAGCAATCCCCTGTACCTAAAGCATGAAACGTTTGCTTCTATATAACTAATTTCCCAATATAAAGCACCTACAAAGCTGCTTGCACATAATATATATATTGCTAACAAATAAAAGAAAAAACGAACACCAGGATATAATAAACCAGCCTGTTTAATATAAACAAGCTTGTGGTTAAGAAGATTCACTAAGCTTTCGTCTGGCCAAAAAACTGCCGGCGTCATCAGACTATTCTAACTCTGATGACGTCGGCAGTATTTTGGCCGGACGAAAGCTTAGTGAATCTTCTTAACCACAGGCTTGTTTATATTAAACAGGCTGGTTTATTATATCCTGGTGTTCGTTTTTTCTTTTATTTGTTAGCATAATGCCCAGGATTCGCATTTTTAGTATTTTAAAAGACACACACATACATATTTTTGTGGGTATTTGTATGTAGGTCTTTGGTTATTTGGGTTTTTCTCCCGCGTCAAATTGGAAGTGTCTTGGCAACATTTCGACGAAGTCCCATTCGTCATCTTCAGGCTGGTGTTTTCGGCTTTGTACTTCTAGGAACACGAAGCACGAAGCCGAAAACACCAGCCTAAAGATGACAAATGGGACTTCGTCGAAACATGATTACAAAGTATCACTACTAATATCAATATTACTAATATCAACCTCAAGCATAATAAAATCCCTTTACTGCTATGTCACCCCAAGTCCTTCTTTTCTCTAGATTAGCCAAACCCAGTTCCTGCAACCGTTCTGCATCATGTTTTTGTTTTCAGGCCTTTAATCATCTTAGTTGCTCTTCTCTGCACTTTTCCCGAAGTCTCAACTTCTTTTTTGTAACGCAGTGACCAAAACCGAATGCAGTATTCCAGGTGTGGCCTAACTAAGCATTTATAAAACGGTACTAATATTTCACATGATTTTGATCTTATGCCTCTGTCTATATAACCAAAAATTGTATTGGCTTTTTTGGCTGCTGCTGCACACGGCTGGCTCATGTTTAAGGAATCGCCCACTTACAACTACCTGCAACTAGAAGGGGTCTAACAAGACACCTAGCTCCAGGCCTTCATTGTGCAAATCCAGAAAAACTGCAACAGTTGATTAAACTATGATGCAGTTCAGACAGGTTAAGTAAGTCGTATAAACCTATTTTTATGTATTTCATATATTATTAAACTAATTTGTATAGACACCCAATTCCAGGGTGAGGTACAACATAAAGTTTTTCTCAACTTTAAAATGGGTGGACCTCTCACGATGGGGAATTCTGGAACTGAAGTCCGTGGCATCTTAAAACAAACCCTGGTTTAAACTCGGGCAAAACCAAGCGACTGTCTTATAGTACCACCCAAGTCCTGGCTGCGTAGAGTCCTCCCCGCCTGCAGGGGGCAGAGAGCGCCCTTTAACTCTTCGCCGCCGCAGAGGGTCGCAGTCCCCGCGCATGCGGAGAAACTAAAGCAACAAACAGTTCGCCCCTCTTGGGCCGGTACGCGCACGCGCCCAAGAAGTTGGTTGCCGCCGCCGCGACCCGAATGCGCAGGCGCCGGGCGCGACCGACGCATGCGCCGAAGAGAAAAAGGACTCCCGCCCCCTCTCAGTCGGCTGCTGCTTTGCTTCGCGTCTTCTGTAGCGACGAGAGCAGCGGTGGCCATGAGCGGATTCGGCGCCGGGGCGTCCTCGCTTCAGAAAGGCGGCGGCGAAACGCTGGAAAAGATAGACATGTCTCTGGGTGAGGCGCAGCGCTCAGCCCCGGCGCGGCGGGCAAGCGGGCATAACGGCGAGGGGAGGGAATTGCTCGGACCGGACCATGGAGACACTGGCGGGGGGAGGGTGCTCGGGCCGAACCATGTGAATGCTGGCTGAGGGTTCTCGGGCCGAACCATGTAGACACTGGCGGGGAGGGGTTTGCTCGGGCCGAACCATGTGGATGCTGGCTGAGGGTTCTCGGGCCGAACCATGGAGACACTGGCGGGGGGGGGTTGCTCGGGCCGAACCATGTTGACGTTGGAGGGGGATGGTGGGGCCGAACCATGGGGGACGCTGGCGAGGGGGGTGTTCGGGCCGAACCGTGGGGATGCTGGCTGGGGGTATCGAGGGGCTCCGGACCAGAGGTGGGCGTGGCCCGAAAGCGGGGGTGACAGGTCTCCGCCCTGGAGGAGAAGTCTTCCTTTGGGTTCAGCAGGTCACTTCCTGGTATTGCCTGGCTCAAAGCCAGCTGACTTTGCAAGCTTGGGATTTCCTGGTGGTCTCCTGTTCGGCTGTTAACCTTGGGATGGATAGATAGATATGGATCATGTATATGGATGTCTATGTATATGCATATGCATACACACACACATACAGTGTGTGTGTGTATCCAATTATTTTAAAAATGCGAATCTCAGGCACATTCATATCAAAAGTACAAAATCTTCAAACGCCGGGATAAATATAAAAATAGCTCTGTGTGTGTGTGTGTGTGTGTGTGTGTGTGTGTGTACACACACACATACACATACACAGAGGGAGAGAGAGAACAATATACCACGTAAAATATTACATTAAGATAAAACCATGGTGAAATTGCTATAGTATGATATGGATCATGTATACGGATGTCTATGTATATGTGTGTGTGTGTGTGTGCATGTATGTATGTATGTATGTATGTGTATATATGTATATGTGTGTGTGTGTGTGTGTGTGTGTGTGTGTATATATATATATGTATGTATATATATATATAGGCAGTAACACACACACAGGCAAGAAAAGTAAGGAAAATGCAGTTAGTGACACGGAAGCTACGACCAAAATGCAGATTGGTCGGTTAGGACCCGTGACGAGATCTAAGAGCCAGGCGCAAATGGCGTCTCACCTATAAATGAGCTCCCCATCTACTAGAATGTACCCTGATGATGTTGACAGCCACCAATGAAAGCTTGGTGTTTTATTGAATTAAACTTTTATAGTTTTGTAATTTTCCTGGTGCTCATGTTTTTAACTATTTGAAATGAATACACCCAGGAATCAGTCTTTTGTTTTTAATATTATTATATACACACACACACTGTGTGTGTGTGTGTGTGTATTTAATTATTTTAAAAATGCAAATCCCAGGCACATTCATATCAAACGTACAAAATCTTCAAACTCCGGGATAGATATAAAAACACACATACATATACACACATACACACACACACATACATACATATACACACATACACACACACGGGGGAGGGAGAGAGAACAGTATACCACGTAAAATATTAAGGTAAAACCATGGTAAAGTTGCTATAATATGGCACCATATGATGCTTTATTTACTTATATACATTTATGTATTATGTGTTTTATTAGGGTTTGTACTGAATATCAGTGATTGCATGGCGTCTGTAGATTCTATATGGCGTACGCTAACTAAAAAATAATTAATCTGGGTGTTTGGGAGAGCAGCCAGGATTTGCTTTCTGTTCCCTGCCCTTAGGTTTAGAGTTTGCAAGTTGTGCCTTGGGAGGGAAAAGGCCAGGCTGGGGTTTGGGGCAAGAAAATTTGCACAGTAGCGGTGTTACCAACATCTGTTTGAGTCTCATTGGGCGGAAAGATGTTGGCTTCGCCTTGGTCTTAGGTTGTAGTATGTGGCTGAAAACAGGCTAGACTAACTTTGGTATTTGAACCTTATTTTTTCTGTAATGGGGATATCCTAAATTTGGGCTTGCAGAAATTTTATAATTCACACTGAATGTTACGCTGGGATAGATAAACCATACCAGAGCTTAAAAGCGTGGCATTTTTTCCAGAATGTGTGCACTGCAGAGGGTGGTAGGGTTTCCTACAGCAAATTAAATCAAAAATTGCCCACCTGTATTTTAGCCCAAACTAGCAGGTGGTTTACATGTATTCAGAAAGGTTTGAGAATGAAAAACAAAGGAAAATTAAAAAAAAAAAAGCAAAATAGTAGCAGATAAAGCCCCAAAGCCTTGTTGGTGGTAGAAAATCTGTTTCTTTTAGAAATGTACAGGTAGCTTTCTAGGGAGGACAAAACAATTACAAAGATGTAAGTGAAATATTTACTGAAGGCAAGACTTTTCCGATAAGAATGTAGAGAAAAAGAACTTAATGGAGGGGCGGTTAAGAAATCTGAAATGTAAATAAAATATAAATAAAATCCGCAAGATCTCTTCAGGATTAAGGTTAGGAGCTATCCCATTTATTTTGATTTATATTATTATCTTTGATCCTTCCCTCAGGAATTTAACAGCATACATAGTACTTCCTCCTTCCTTTTTTCCACAATCTTCTGAACTGGTAGGTTGAGAGATGAATGTAGAGCAGGAGTCTTCAAACTTGGCCCCTTTATTACTCGTGGACTTCAACTCCCAGAATTCCTCAGCCAGCATGCTTGGCTGAGGAATTCTGGGAATTGAAGTGCACAAGTCATAAAAGGGCCAAGTTTGAAGACCCCTGGTATGGAGGACTACGCAGATGGTTGGAGAAGGAATACAACAGCTAGCGAAATTTGAATTAAGCGTGGGAAAGGAGGAAGGTGTCAGAAAGAAACAGAAGGTGGCCCTGCCCTGATTCTCTTTGGCGAAGAGTGAGGGAAGTTAAAATGCCCTCCATTTTTCAAGATTCTGTGACCATAGACCAGGGGTAGGCAACCTTGGCTCTTTTATGACTCGTGGACTTCAATTCCCAGAATTCCTGAGTCAGCCATGATTTCCTATTACCTTCTCTTATTGGTATCTTGTGATGACATCACTTTGTTGTTTATATGTACACTCTGTACACTGAGAATTTACACACAAGTAAGTTCCTTGTGTGACCAATCACACTTGGCCAATAAAGAATTCTATTCTAATTTATTTATTTTTGTAATCCTCTTCCTCCTCCTCCTCCTCCTATCCTATCCCAGGGGTAGGCAATCTTGGCTCTTTTATGACTCATGGACTTCAACTCCCAGAATTGCTGAGCCCTGAAGGGGCCATAGTTCCCCCATGCTGGCTCAGGAATTCTGGGAGTTGAAGTCCATGAGTCATGAAGGGGCCCATAGTTCCCCCATGCTGGCTCAGGAATTCTGGAAGGAACAATTCAATATATAGAATTTTTAAGAAAAGTTTAGGCCAGGGGTAGACAACCTTGGCTCTTTTATGACTCGTGGATTTTAACTCCCAGAATTCCTCAGCCAGCATGGGGGAACTATGGCCCCTTCATGACTGGTGGACTTCAACTCCCAGAATTCCTGAGCCACCATGGGGGAACTATGGCCCCTTCATGACTCATGGACTTCAACTCCCAGAATTCCTCAGCCAGCATGGGGGAACTATGGCCCCTTCATGACTCATGGACTTCAACTCCCAGAATTCCTCAGCCAGCATGGGGGAACTATGGCCCCTTCATGACTGGTGGACTTCAACTCCCAGAATTCCTCAGCCAGAATGGTTCAGCTTGGAAACCTCTCCCTTTCCCCTCAGCATGGCTGGATCAGAAATTCTGGGAGTTGAAGTCCACCAGTCATAAAAGAGCCAAGGTTGCCTACCCCTGGCCTACCCTATCTTAATTTATATTTCCGTATTTCTTCTTTTCTAACCTGGCTGACACCGAGAGGGATTTGGATTTTCCTACTCCGATTGGGACCCCTTGAGCATAGCACCCCCCAATTTTCTTGGGGTGATCTCTAAACTGGCTCCACCATAAGTCAGCTCCATCCTGAATCTCTCCAAAACTCAGTCCTTGGTGCTCAAATTAATCTGATCTAGGTTTATAATTTGAGTCCAAGCTCTCAAGGACTTGCATTGAATTAATACTAATCTTTGAAGCTGCACATGGAAAACAAATAGGCAGCTATTTTGATTATGGAACACTACATTCCATAATCCCTGGAGTCAATTAAGATTTCCATACCTGCACAGGGTTGGCTCTTCACGATGATGTTAAATTCTTTGACAACTTTATTTGATTTGATTTTTTTTTTAAATCCCACCTTTATTACTTTATAAATAACTCAAGGCAGAGAACATATGAAAGCCATTTTCCTCCTCTTTTCCCTAAAACAACAGTCCTGTGAGGTAGGCAGGGCTGAGATGGAATGACTGGCCCAAAGTCACCCAGCCGGCTTTCATGGCTAAGGCGGGACTAGAACTCACTGTCTCCTGGTGATTGGTCCAAAGTCACCTAGCTGGCTTTCATGCCTAAGGCGGGATTAGGTCTCCTGGTGATTGGTCCAAAGTCACCCAGCTGGCTTTCATGCCTAAACTAGAACTGTCTCCTGGTGATTGGTCCAAAGTCACCCAGCTGGCTTTCATGCCTAAGGCGGGACTAGAACTCACCGTCTCCTGGTGATTGGCCCAAAGTCACCCAGCTGGCTTTCATGCCTAAGGCGGGACTAGAACTCACCGTCTCCTGGTGATTGGCCCAAAGTCACCCAGCCGGCTTTCATGCCTAAGGCGGGACTAGAACTCACCGTCTCTTGGTGATTGGCCCAAAGTCACCCAGCCGGCTTTCATGCCTAAGGCGGGACTAGAACTCCCCGTCTAAATATGAGTCAGTTGCCAAGCATCTGAATTTTGATCACATGACTCTGGGGATGGTGCAGCGGCCATAAGTGTGAAATATGGTCACAAGTCACCTTTTTTCAGTAACTTCAAACGGTCACTAAATGAACCGTCATAAGTCCACCCATAGTTGTTTTCTTACACACACACACACACACACACACACACACACACACACAATATAGATTTCCTT